ACTGGGACTGGGTGCACGCCTGTAATCCCAGCACAGGGGAGGCTAAAACAGGAGAATCACTATGAGTTTGAACTGCATAGCAAGACTCTGTATCACAAATCAGTATCATCATCATCATCATCATCATCATCATCATCATCATCATCTTGATGATATGCTGCATTCTGTTTGCCAGTATCTTATTGAAGATTTTGTATCAATGTTCTTTAGGGAGATTGGCCTATAGTTCTCTGTTTTGTTTGGATTCTCTTCTGGATTTGGTATCGGGGTAATGGTTGCTTCTAGGAGTGAGTTTGGCATATTGCTTCTCTTTCATTAAAGAGTTTGAGGAGTAGTGGCATTAGACCTTCTCTAAATTTCTTGTAGAATTCAGCAATGAATGCATCAGAACATGGGCTTTTCTTTGTTGGTAGTTTTTAAATTACATCTTTAATTTCACAGACTGATACTGGGTTATTTAAAATTTTTATATCTTCTTGTTTTGGTTTTGTTATGTTTTGAAACAAACTCTCATAGTTCAGGCCAGCCTTGATCTCACTTATGTAACCCAGGCTGATCTCAAGCTCATGGTAATTCTCCTGCCTCAATCTCCTGAGTGCTGGGATTACAGGCATGTGCTATATCTTCTTGATTCAGTTTTGGTATATATCGAGAAAGCTGCTCATGTCCATGTCTTCTGCATTTTCCATCTTAATAGTGTAGAGGTTCTCAAAGTAGGAACTGATGGTCTTCTGGGTTTCTACAGGATCCATTGTTTTTTCACCCATTTTATTACTAATAGATTTTTCCCCCAGACAGTTCAGCTACATCTTTATTCACTTAGTGTGTTAAGTGTACTGGTTTTAAATACCCTATTAAACAAACAGCCCTGTCAGCATGGTATTTGGTTTCTTAAAAGCAGCAGTATAGGCATTGTATTGATTACACAGCAGTTATAAGGATCTTGATACAGGGTACGTCTAGTCTAAAGGAAACACGTGGAGAGCTTACACCGTGTAAACACACAGATCAGTCACTGCGGGGTTGCGCATGCAGGGCGAGGGGCCTGGCGCAGCCTTGCTGCTTCTCCCTCTTGCAACAAATGGCCCCAAGTATAGCTTGCTTTGGTGGCAGTGGGATTGACCTTTCTGATACCACCACATGGTCTGTGTGCAGCTATGGGAAGAGCCCTGTGCCCTTGGCACACAATGAGACAGCCAGTGACATGAGAGCCCATCCCTAATGCCCCAATTACCTGCAACTGGAAAGTGCATTCCATGCCACTCAGGCCACAGGCAAAGGGAGTGTGACATGGGGGTTCCACACTCACGTCCACCATGGCCTCAGGAGGCCTCAGCCCAGAGCAATCCTAGCAGAAGAAACACCACAGCTCCCAGCTGCTTTGAGGAAATGACACAAGTGACATGACTCAGGGTTGCTGCTCCCATGGCGTTGCACCTTGAGCAGAATTCATAGGGACCTGCTTGCTGCTCCTGGAAGGGGAGGGAAGGGAAGCCCTTCCGGAAGGGCCCCATGATTCAGATGCCTTAAGTTAAGCTGCTGCCCCAACTTCATGTTCCTACTTGCATTAAAATAATTGAAGGTCTGTTTTACTGGCAATTTAGGATGCAGAGTATTTTTTGAGACAGGGTCTCACTATGTAGTTTAGCCTGGCCTTGAACTCACCAAGCTCACTAAGTAGTGCAGGCTGGCCTCTACTCATGGCAATCCTCCGGCCTCAGCTTCCCAAGGGCGTGCGCCCCCACACTTGGCTCTTTCCCTTTTTTGGTAAGGATTTGTCAGTTTTATTTAAACCTTTCAAAGAACCAACTTTTCAATTCATTGATTCCTTATATGGTTTTCTATTAGTTTTTGCTTTGATCTTTATCATTTCTTCCCTCACACATGCTTTGGGTTGAATTTGTTCTTCTTTTTCTAGAAGTTTGTGCTTCAATGTTGTTATTTAGCTTAGCTCATTCTGGTTTTTTTTTTTTCTTTTTTTTTTAATGTATGTGGTACAGGGTCTCACTATGCAGCTCAGAGTCATAGTGATTCTCCTGTTTTCAGCTTCCCCAGTACTGGTATTATAGGCGTGCACCACCATGCCTGGCCTCAGTGGCTGGCTCAGTGCCTCAGGGGCAAGGCTGGTCCAGCCTGTGATGCCAGGGATTGAATCCCAGACCCTGTGCTTGCCTAAGCAGGTGCATAGTCCACGGAGCTATCTCACCAGCCCTCATTCTGTTTTTCTAATGTTTGATGTATAAATTTTCCCTTATATGCCTGCTTTCATTGCCCCCCACAAGTTTTGGTATGTCATATTGGCATTATTGTTTACTTTTAGAAACTGTCTAATTTGTTCTTTAATTTCATATGTGAACCATTGGTTGTTATTTAATGTGTTATTTAATTTCCATATGTTAATTCAGTTTTTGTAGTTTCTTTTGCCATTGATTTCTAACTTTATTGCACTATGATCTGATAATATACATGAGTTAATTTCAATCCCTTTGCATTTACTTAAGCATGATCTATGACCTAGTATGTGATCTGTGTTGAAGAAGGTCCTAGTACAGTTGAGAACAATGTGTATTCCATTGTTGTGGGATGGGATAATCTGTAGATATCTACTAAGTCCATTTGTTCGAAGGTTTGGTTCGACTCTAATACTTCTTTTGTGTATTTTGTTTTGTTTTGTTTTGTGGTCAATTTGATCTATTTGTGACAGTGAATATTGAGATTCTCCATTAAAATTGCATTAGTGTTTATTTGATTAGTCTTACCCATTAAGGTTTGTTTGATATAGTTAGGTGTGCTGTTATTTGGTTCTTGTACATTTATGATTGTTATATAATCTTGGATTTTTCCCTTAACAAGTATATAGTGATCTTCTTTGTCTCTTCTAATAAGACTTGCCTTGAAATGCACTCTGGGTACAAATAGAATGGCTACCCTTGCATTTTTCCAAGTTTTTGTCCCATGGGGTATTGTTTTCCATCTTTAACTTTCAGTATATGAATTTCTTTTTTAAATTAAATGTTTTTCTTATATGCAGCAGCATATTGTTGGTTCTTACATCTTTATCCATTCTGACAACCTATTTCTTTTGATTGTTAAATTGAGACCATTTACATTGATGGTTATAACTGATATGTATTGATTTATCCTTATCATAGCAGTTTCCTCTTGTTGATATCTTTTCTTTCCCCTCTGTTTAATTGCTTGCCTTCACTGGTGTATTCATTCTGCTGGGCTTTATGGATTTGTTATCCTCATTTCTTCTTCCAGAATAGCTTTCAGAACATTTTGAAGTGCTGCTCTGGTGGTCATAAATTTCTTCGGGTGTCCTTTATCATGGAAGTATCTTTTTTCTCCATCAATTTTGAAAGGTAATCTTGGGGAGTACATCAATCTGGTTTTGAGGTTGTTTTCTTTTAGGTCTTGAAATACGTTACTCAGTTCTCCTTGATATAAGTGGTTGGGTTAAAAAGTCAGCTGGGCTTTTCTTTGTATGTTGTTTCTTTTTGTAACAACTTTTGCTATTTTGTTCTTATGATGAATTTCTGGAATCTTGACTATCATATGCCTTTGTGTAGGTTTTTTTTGTTTGTTTGTTTGTTTTTGTTTTTTTTCCTTTCACACCATGGCTTCTTGGAATTCTGTATGTCACACTTACCTGTATGTTGAATTCTTTCTCCATGTTTGAGAAGTTAGCTGCCTCTACTTCTGGGAACAGGTTTCTTATGTCCATTGTGCTCTCTTTTGATTTTTTTCATTGATTCTAATCAATCTTATGTTATTCTTCTTTGTATCATCCAGCTGCTGTTGGATTGATTTTATGTAGTCCTTTGCTATTTTAATAAATATTTCATTGGATAATCACTAACCACCAATGTCTCTGGATCTGATATTCTACTCTCACATTGGTTGATTCTGCTGCATATACTTTCAGTAGAATTTTTAATCTCCTAGATATCTGGTTGAATCCAGATTTCATGGAGTCTATTTCTTTCCTATGTTATGCATTCATGGTTTCTATCACTTTTCCTAAGCTCCTGTATTTTTTTTTTCCAGAACCGGGGATTGAATTCAGATCCTTGTGCTTACCAGGGAAGTGCTTTTCTACTGAGCCATCTCCTTGGCCCCTGTATTTTTTTTTTAATCTGTATCTACTTTAGATTCACTAAGCATGTCCTTCGTTATGGTTATTATCTCTTTAGTTATCTGTGAAATTATTTCTGACTTTTTTTTCCTACAGATTTGTTCATCTGCTTTGTTACTTTTGTTGCTACCATTTCAGAAATTTCAGCTGGGTGGCTTTTAATTTCTTGCACCTCGGTGCCCCTTGATTTGCCTTGGCTGAGCCAAGGGTTTCCTCTTGCTTCTGTCTTCCCATTTTCTGTTTTTTAAAATGTGTTTTCTACATTGATGCTTATAAATTGCCTACAATAAGTAGCTTTGTTAATAGTATTGAGATCTCCTTAGGAAATGACTACTTTTTAGAGATGTCTGCTAGGTATAGCTGGCTTTTGGTTTATCTGTCCCAAGGTCTTGCCTCCTCAATTTATTAGGGATGAGAAGATGCCACCCTTTTGGCCTAGCACCCAGTTTTTGTTGTTGTTGTTTTGGGGTGGGCTTTTTCATTTGTTTGCTTTGTTTTGTTTTACTGGGAATCCAACTCATGATCTTGTGCTTGACAGGAAGGCACTGTGTTACTGAGCTATATTCCCAGTCCCTAGCACCCAGTTCTTTGACACTGGATTATGATATTGTTTTTGAACCCAGGATAATCTTGATATTGGCATGTAAGGAAAAATAGCCGATCACAACTATGTCACTTTGGCTAAATTAGAAAATGACAAACTATGGTAACTCTTAATTTACATTTCTAACCATAGGTACAAGATTTATAGTTATGTAAATAAGTATAAATCAAACAAATCAAAAAACATATACAATAAGTATTTTTTTCTAAGTAGAGCAATTTTATTCTCAAGAAAGAAGATTTAGAAGTAATAAGAGTGTGGGTATGCTCAGAGCAGGTGGCCTGAAGAATGGCTTCTCTGTTTACAGCACACTGAACAGGAATTTAGGGTCACTGTGACAAGGAGCACAAGAGGACTTCTTTTTGAGCAGATGTCCCACACATGTACTCCATACACTTCCACATGGCTTCTGGACAGTACCAATGGGACAAGGCTCTACAGCATTTAGTGAGGGAGGTGGGCATTGTCCACTGATACATGGTGATCCATGGTAGTCGTAGAAGTAAAGACTGAATTTCTAAATTAAATAAAATAAATTAAAAATAATAATAAAAGCAATTTTTCTTTCAAGGAGGAGGAGGAGGAAGAGAAGGAGGAGGTGGTTAGAGGAAAAAATAGAGAAATAAAAGAAGTAAAAGAGATTAGAAGCAAGGCTAAAGAAAAAGGGAAGATTACCCAAGCTTGAGGAAACTGGTGAGGAAGACAGGAAGGAAAGAAAGAAGGAAAAAACAAGAACTAAACAAAACAAAAAGCTAAAACAATCACAGAGATATATGTGTACCCATGTTAGCAGCACAGTTTATAATAGCTACATCTTGAAAACAACCTAAATGCCTATCAGCCAAGGCATGGATAAAAAAGATGTGGTCTTTTTATATAATGAAGAAATACTCTGCCATAAAGAAGGATAAATTGGGGCTGAGGAGATAGCTTAACAGTCTAAGCATCTGCCTGGCAAGCACAAGGACTCAGGTTTGATTCCCAGTATTGCATGGTGTACCAGCCCTGCACCATGCTGGCCACTAAAACCAGGCACAGTGGCACACACCTGTAATCCCAGTGCTGGGGATGCTGAGACAGGAGGATCACTATGAGTCCAACGTGCATAGTGAGGCCCTGTACCAAATAAATAAGTAAAATACTTTTTTTAAAAGAAGGATAAATTGGAGCCTTTTATAGATAAATGGATGCAACTCAAGACCATACTCATAAGTGAAATAAATCAGATGCACACATGTAAACATGGTATCGTCTCCCTAGCATGAGAAGATAAAAGAGTAAAGAAGATCCCAAAATGTACAATAGATATTGTAAAATGGGAAGAAATTCCAAAAGGAAAAGGAAACTGAGATGGGGGAATGGAGAAAAGCAAGGGAAAAGCAAAAAATAAATAAATAAATAAAAAGTACACATGTGTAATATATGATAGTTAAGGTAATTACATTACTAATTTCTCTTAGTTAATTGAAAAGAATAGTTTGGGTTCTAATATTGTTTAGACAATGAAATTCCAATATCTTATACTCCAAGTAACTAATTTATAAATAACAATATACAATATATTAACCATTGTTACCCTCCTCTACTGTATTCTTTTAAAATTTTGTGGGTTTTTTCCTCTTAAAAAGAAAACTAAAACAATGAAGAAAAAGGAGATTTCTCTGTGATTTTAGGCATGTGGTTATCTTTTGGGTCCACAGTTTTGCAGTAGTGTCCAATTCGCGGCATGTCTCTACTGTCACTGATAAGACAAAGGGGGCAGACAGAGTCCAGTTCTAACTGGATGTGATCCTAGCAAGCCTGTAGTAACACTAGGATGGGGCGCTGGATAATCCTATCAAGGCTGCAATAGGACTAGGGCAGGGTGCCAGTTCTGGTGCTTCTAACTCCATAGAAGTTCAGGCTGATCCTGATGTCAAGTTGTGGCATTGAGGTTTGAGTTACCTACAACACTCTAGGGATCTCTTGCCAGCCTGACCTCAGCTCCCTGACTCTGGATGTCTCCTGCCGTTGTGCCTCACCCAGTCACTGCAAGCCCTGAGACAAAGCCAACCTATGGGTGCTCTGAGTCCTGGGTTCATTTGGCCCCTCCTTAAAATTGCATTGGCCAAGTACCCTTCCTGGGGACTTGGAATGGAGTCATCACCAGTTGTTGTAGCTCACAACATCCAGTGCTCCATTCTGCTGGTGTGTTTCTCCTTGGAGACCTCTAGAGTCACTCACCCTCGCTGTGTCTCTGTAGATTCCAGCTTCCTCTCTCTCACCATGAGCCAGGAATCAAGAGAAAGGGCAGTTAGCCTCTCCCTCTTTCTACATTGAGATGTGTCTGTTCACTTTCCTTGTGGCCTTCGATTCTCCTTTCATATCCTTCCTGGGTCCCAGGGAATCCATCCTTCTTCCCCAAATTGTTATATGCTAGTGTCTGGATTCTATACCTCAGAGAGGCTGATTTGCTGCTGTTCAGAAGTCTCATCTTGATTGTTTTTCATTCAGTTTGCTTAACTAAGTAGTGATGATGTAGGAAAAGTAGTGGGCTATGACTGGGGTCTCGCGTGAGGGCCTTAGTTGCTGTTTATGTGGCCATAGGCTAATGACAGTTATGTCAGGTTTCTGAACATTTATTATGCTATGTAGTTATGATATACATTTTCCTATATGTGTGTGCATATATATTTTTATATGTAATTTTTCAAAGTTCTCTGTAAACTTCCCTGTAAATGCTGCTAATATTATGGGGAATATCATCAGTCTTTTATCTCCATGTGTATATTTCTAGAATAAAACTGAGATTCTACTTGCTTTTTTATAAACCATACATCATAAATATTTTCCTTAACATGAAATATTCTTCCACAGAATAATTTTTAATGGTCATACAGTCCTTTGAAAAGTGTAAGACATCATACCATGTACCATAGTGATAGCATTCCTTCCTGAAGGTGAAATTCTGTTTAAAAGGTTTTTAAATTTCTTCCTTTCTCTGTAGGGGACATGGTCTCAAAGTACCGAGATCCTTTGATCCATACCTTCCTGAGGGGAGTGAGAGATCCAGATGGTGCCCACAGGGCCAGCAGCTTAGCCAACCTGGGAGAGCTGTGCCAGCGCCTGGACTTCCTGCTGGGCCCTGTGGTTCATGAGGTGCTGTATGTTGGCTGCTTCTTCTTGCTTAGCACTGAGAGTGAGGAGATATACCAGGAACTTCTCTCAGTTTCATTTGTCTCATATGTGTAATTGAAAGTTTTGTTACAGGTTATACATCCCTAATCCAAAATATTCCAAACTCTGGGGCTGGGGAGATAGCTTGGGGTCTAAGCACCTGCCTGGCAAGTGCAAGGATCTAGGTTCAGTTCCTGGTACCACATGCCACACTGACCCTGAAATCCCAGGTGTGCTGTGCCGGCCACCAAAACTAGGTGGTGGTGATGCATGCCTGTAATCCCAGCGCTGAGGAGGCAGGCTGAGACAGAAGGATCACTAGGAGTCCAAGCTGTGTAGTGAGACCACATACCAAATAAATAAATAATATCTATATCTATATCCATAGATGTAGATATGTAAAGATACAAAATCTGAAACTTTTTGAGCCCTAACATAATGCCATAATTGGAAAATTCCCACATCATGAAACTTTGCTTCATATACAGAACTATTTTCTGGCTGTGTATATAAGGTTTATGTGAAACATAAATGAATTTTACATTTAGACTTGGACCTCCATCCCCAAATAACTTATTGGGTATATACACTTACTCTTTTTTTTTTTTTTTTTTCTTTTTGTACCAGGAATCGAACTTATGACCTTGTGCTTGCCAGGCAGGTGCTGTGCCACTGAGTTATATCTCTAGCTATACATACTTATTCTAAAATTAAAAAAAAAATCTGAAATCCAAAACAGTTTAGCTCAAGTATTTCAGATAAGAGATACTCAAACTAAAGTAAGACTCAGTTCCAAGTGATAAGAAATCATCTTACCCTACCTTATGCATTAAATGATGACTTATTATAAAGATTCTAAAGTAAGTAACAGTGGTTGACCCTGTCCCACTCCTAGAGACCCACTTTCTGCTACATCAGTTCCCAGTGTGCTTAGAATTATTAATAAAAGGGGCCTGGGAGATGGCTCAGTAGAATAAGTGCTTCCCTGGCAAACGCAAGGGCCTGAGTTCAATGCCCGGTGCCAAAAAAAAAAAAAAGAATTATTGATAGACTGAGCATAGCAAGGGCAGAACCAGAGTTTATTCATCTTTCCAGCCTTTCTCACATCTATGATGGTGCTTGGCATATAGCCGGTACTAAGTGTTGGCTGATTAATATCAAAAGGAAGGGGCTGGAGAGATGGCTCAGTGGTCTAGAGCACCTACTTAGAGCAGGCTTGGCAAAGCATCA